GTGAAGTAGGCATTATACTGTCTCTAAATAAGTGCAACAAAACAATAATGCTCATTTCATTAAAATTGTATCAGGCAGTTGTTTGTGTGCAAATGACTCTGGTTGAGTAGGACCAAGACAGTGAGAATAAATTTAAACATCTGTGGGTCATGCTAACTTTAGATGAGTGGGACCTTGTGAGCTAGTATGCCACAGTGTGCACAGAAGAAAAGAGGTACAAGATCTACTAGGACATGCCCCAAAGCCAACCTGTGGCAACAGGAAGAAAAAAAGGAAAAGAAAAGAGCTTTCTCTAGGTCCTAGTGGTAGCACCTATCAATGTCCTTTACTTCTCTTTTTAATCAGTCATGACCTCTTTCTTGCAGCTACGAGAGCTATTAACAGCAGTATCAAGGAGAGAAAAATGTTAATAGTACCGTATTTCTTGGGGACCGACATTTATTACATATAAGATGTTAAGAATTGTAAATGCAACATTATTTTTGTACTATTATGAAAGGAAAAAATGCTGCTAATTAAGCTACAATATTCCATGGACTATAATTTACCCTCAAATTTCAGGGATGTATGTATGTGTATGGAACTAGTAGAATTTAGTATCCTCTGTTTTTCCTGATTGTGGAGAGATGTTCATCCTCTTTGAGAGAAGGGACTTTCATCTTGAAGCGGGTGGAGGCTTCTTGATGGAAGCTCCTGGCTATTATCATTCATTGAACAGGCTCCCTTCCAAGTTAGGCCCATTTTAAGGCTCATTACCTCCACCAAATCACTCCTCAGAGGAGTTTTCTCTTCTATAAAATGGTAACAACAATGCCTAATTCACAGCTTTGCTGGGAGCCTTCAAGATGATAAACAGGTGGAAGTTGCCTGGCACTTATAATCAATACCTAGTCATGTCTTTCATTCCTTCTCACACCAATGTGAGAAGAATGTCTTTTTCTGTAAAATAGGGTAGTGATAACTGTCACACTGACATTGAAGGATTGCTGAGTGTTAATTGTGATGATGTGTGAGTAGACATACACATACCCTCATGTCCCTGACTCTGTGTGTGTGTGTGTGTGTGTGTGTGTGTGTGTGTGTTTTAAGAAAAATACTCTTTAACACTATTATACCTTTTCAGGTTATTTTTCATCACTATTATGCAGGGCATCCACCTGTCACTCTATCAAGGAAAAAGATGTTATGCACTTTATTTTAATATTCTACTCCCCTATTTATTATGGATCAAAAACTAAAAAGAAGAAAGAGAGGGCGTAAGAGGAGAAGTGTGGAGAGAGAGTAGGGGAAATGACTGGATTTAAAAACAAAGAGTGAAAAAAAAATAAAAATAAAAACAAAGAGTGGGACTGGGGTTGTGGCTCAGTGGTAGAGCATTTGCCTAGCATGTATGAGGCAATGGGTTCGATTCTCAGCACTGCATATATAAATGAATAAAATTAAGGTCCATCTATGTCTAAAAAAATATTTAAAGAAAGAAAAAAATCTGAATTTTAATAAGTTTCTACTTATTAATAAATAATAAGTATAAGATAATTAGTATAAATAAGATAATTAGTATAAATTATTCATTAAGAGGGACTTGTTGCATTCAGGTAAATTAGTTCTTAGTAAACAATAATAAAGAGTGGTGTTTTTCAAATCTGAACATCATCATAATTACTGCAGAAGTTAAAAAAATATATTTGTGGATTTCTCCCCAGATATACTAAGTCAGAATCTCTGGGGTATGGTAGCCAAGAACATGCATTTATGAAGCTATCAGCTGATTCTGATATCCAATCTTATTTGGAAACCACTGATGAGCAGGTTTTAACCTCTAATACAGTAAAATAGTCATTACTTTCTTTAGAACCAATTCTACTATTTTTTAGTGCTTCCTGATATTTTACGTTTCAATCCTGGATGATTTGGGAAAGAGGACTCAAACATTGTTAACAGCGTTGATCTAAATAAAGATGACACTTACCAGTCTCCTTTTGCAGCAAAGAGTGGCCATGTGACTAAGTTCTAACCAATTAGATGTAGGGTGGAAATGCTGTATGCAAATTGAAATATTGCTTTTTAAAGACTAGTTTCTGATGGCTTTTGTTCCATG